ACAAACTGTAATGCATTAATGGAAAAAAATTAGTGGACTATCAGAAAGAACAGGACATTTCAGGTGGAAAGCTCATGGAGCCCAACAGTTTTCAAGACATTTTCAATCACTAAAAATTAAATTAATAAAAACATCTTGAAAACTAATGGATGAAAAGAGATCAATATCATGTAGCAAATTAAATCGAAAATTATCCCAGCAACACGATGAACCCACTCCCACCGCCCCGGGTTCTATTTCCCAAACCAAATAATAACCATAAACCAAGAAACATTGTAGCATTCCAGCACAATTACGAGGCGCCGTTAACGAGCCTGCTGGAAAGACGTCCCGATAAGCGTGAAAGACCCTGAACACACCTCAGCAGTCCTCTCTCATTTTTTTTCCTCTCATTACCCCCGAGCCACCTTCTTTTTTTAATAAATAATTTGCAATTAAGGATTCGATCAGTGGATAATACATATATTCCGGAGCAAATGGATTTATTATATTTTCATGACGTGCGCATTGATTAAAACTTTATATTATATATATGTATCCAATATGGAAAGAGGAAATAAGAAATTCCCTTCAAATGCAATGGAAAATAAGAGAAAAATAATGAGAAGTAAAAAAAATTGAGATTAAAAAATTGATTGCGAGTGGAAAGAGTGTATTCTAGTCAGATCGAATTCTCGGCGTGAAATTCGCGAGTCATCGCATCGATGCAATTCGATTTAATTGAGTTTCCCTTCGGGGTCTCACCAAACCCCACCTCAACTTTGCGCTCAATCTTATCGCAGATTCATCGATTATATGCAACACACAGGTACGAGTTTAGTTGAAGTTTGAAATTGTGTATACATGTATATTTGTGCCTGGAATATGCAGTACATCTCCCCCTTCCCCCTCTCTTCTTTCTCGTCATGCTTGGGGATAGAGTGAAACCTTTACTGCTTACTATCGCGTTTAAAACAGTAATTCATCGGGATTAATCTCGAGTAAAGTATGAAGGCCTTGGTGTTGTACTGTAGACGCGTTTGGAAACATCGTGGGGCTCGGGGAGAAGGCAATTATTAAGTAGAACTGGCATTTTATAATCGGGTAATTATGGAGAGTCTATTAGAACTTCTTGTCTTTATGTTCGGGATTTATTGATTGAGGAAATTGAGGTTTTTATGATGCTGGCTTGAAAAAAGAAATTTCAGCTTTCGAAGTCCGCAGGAGCAATTCTCTGTGTGCGATAGTTTGGGGAAATACTAGATTTCATCATTAGGCTCATAAAGTATTTGTTGCGGAATGTAAGTTTATAATCCGAGCCGAAGGCCATTTATTTTATGCTACGGGCCCGAAACCCTCCACCTAGGCGTGCGAAACGAGGTTTATCAGGCCTAGTAATGTAATAGTATTTTCATCACGCTCTGCGAAAAAGTAACTTTTTAAATTTAAGTGAAATGTTCCTTTTCCACACATTGTAATGAAAAATATCGTTCGATACTAATCGAAAAAGTGTTTTTTGACTCTTGGAATTAAATCACTCACCCTTGGCTCGTGCTATAAAGTTCCCACGGACGAAATAGTACATTATGTCATGAGGGCGATAAGCGGCGGTTTGTGAGGAGTGTGGAGTTGCAGCAAGAGGCGTGGCAAGCAGGAGACGAGGATCGCCGAAGGCGATCCGAGTCGGACGCTTGCCATGCCGAGTGTTGCAAACTCCACACGACTCACAAACCAACGCTATCGCCCGAATGGCATATACTATTTTTCGTCACGAAGGCCCGACGCGGGTGTGGGCGCGGGAGGGGGTCCAGGGGGACGAAGTCCCCCTGAAGAAAAAAATAAAAGCAATAGAAAAAAATAAATCGAAATAAAATCAATATCAGTTGATGCGAAAATAAATAACTAGTAAAGTCCGCCAAAATATCCAAAAACAGTAGGTTGATGACGGTAATTTTGGACCTGTGAAAAGAAAATTGCATAAAAAATAGAAAATAAGAACAGATATCAAAGATAAAAGAAGATACTCAGCTGTTCAATTTTTCTTCTTTTATTAAGAACAGAAGTCGACGTTATAAATACTGATATTTTAGAAATTGTTGTTTTTTGAACAAAAATATCAACTTTAAATTGAACAAAAACTCGGAGAGTGACTTTTTTCTAATGATAAATCTTCTCAATGACACACAACAACATGGCTACCACTAGTGGGTTAAGTTGTAGAGAAGGCCGCTAGAGGCGCTGTACAGCTCATCCGACTATACGTTTACCCGAACGCAGAGCGCATGCCCAAGTGGGGGGAACGTCAGGGCACATGGTGACGCCCACTTTATCGCTCCTAGGATGGGTAAGTGAGATTTACCCTCCTTGGAGCACCGAGCGTCTCATTTACCCTCCTTGGAGCACCGATTATTCAAGTGCCGCGGTAAACTCTCTTTACCCCCTCTCGACAGAGCCCGAGTAAGCGCCGTTTATCGGGCCGAGTGACGAAAACACTTTTATGTCATTAGGCCCGAAAAAACTGCGATTCGAACTTCGCTTCGCTCGGTTAGATCGCGGTTTTCGGGCCCAACGACATAAAATATCGTATGCCACACGGAGATAAAAGCATTATCTGGCGAATGTGATTATAATGCCACATTCGCCAGATAATACTTTTATCGCCTGATGACATAATATACTATTCCGCACTCGTATCGAAATATACAGGATCGACTCCTCTCGTGATGACTGAGTTAATTTATCTCATCTGGATCTCAAGTTTTTCGTATTTTTTAATACAAAATCTCAGTTTTTGTCTCGGTTTGTCTCGTCTCGGTTTTCTGCATATAAAAAATGTGAAGAACTGAGAACCGAGATGAGATAAATTGACGTGGAATCATCACGAGAGGAGTCGATACTGCGTATTTCAAGACTGGGACGAGAGCAAAGATTTCCATGTTCATTGAGACCGAGACCATCTCTCCAAAGTTTCATCTCGTGATGTCTCGTGAAATGTCTCGCAGCATCACTAGACACTGCTGCAACGTTCACCTCGTACTGAAAAGTACTTTTTCGTTTACTCGTATCCGAAAAGTAAATGGAAAGTCTTTTATGTCACACGGCGATAAAAGTATTATCTGACGAATGTGATGACGTACCAAAGGCGAGACCACATCCTCCATTCTACCAAATATGTCACTCAAACAACCCGATGAATATACAGAAATAAACTTTACAATTATGAAAACAAATTGAAAGGATCACTCCGGCTCTTGTGAACCAGTCTAATTTATTTCTTCAAATTAATTCTCTCATTCAATTTTACCCTTTAAATAAACTCGAAATCAATGTACCAAATTGATGAAAATAATAAAAAATCAGCATTTTGATGACATGATCTTGAAAAACGACAAATTTCTGGTTAGAAACTCATTACGAGAATCCGTTTAACCCGACGTATTTCTTGAATACATCGAAACCTGATGCACCAAAGAGCAAAAGAGAACAAAAATTTCCCTAGCTATTAATCCATTGGATATTCCATGTAAACTACTTCATGAATATGAACGAATGGAAAGAAATTACTTTACATTTTTCAATGATATTGTTCGACGGATAGAAGATTAAAAATATAGCAGGGATGCAGCGTCACGCATGAGTCAAATAGCCATCGTTGAATACTACGGTAGATCGACTTGTAATTGACCGATAAACAATCATCCGAGGCCGATTCAACTCGCCCGGTCGTTTAAACTGGACGATAGTTTATCGCCCCCCAACAGCTTCTATTGTAGATAGAAAGTATACAACCACACACTGCGCCTTGTCTATCGACTCTGTTTATTGTTATTATTTATTACTCGATTTGTATCACCCGGTGAGGCGCTTTGAAAGGAAATGAGATAGGTGGAAAATATTTTTATATCGATGTTGTTTTATTGTTGTTGTTGTTACTCTCTTTGGATGTTTTTTACCCATTCTCCGCCCATCTACGTTCCCTCACGCTTCCTTTACGATCGCTCGTTACCGCACACTTTTCCATCCCCACAGCAATATTATTATTACAGTGTATATTCCATAGAAAACTGATCGATTCGAGAGGGAAAATAATTTGTAGATAAGTGGGGAGAGAAAATGATGGTTGAATTTTTCAGAGAATCATTTTTTTTGTAAAAATTATCTTTTTAAAATATATAAAAAAACAGGATTTTAGGATTAAAAATGCATCAAATTTTCTAATAAGCTTTTATGGAAACTTGCAGTTATTCCATAAAAAAAGCAGAGAAAGGCTTCGAACTTTATAAACTATTATTTGTGGGCGTCCAAATGAAAAGGAACCACTTGGGCACTATTGGAGTTATGTGTAAATTGCGACAATCTTTGTCAAATTCGTCACATTTTCAGTCGAAAATAAACTCATTATTATGATAAATGACATCAATATAGAAGATCAAAAAATCAATTCAGCTGAATTTTTGAGGAATATTTCGGAATCTAAGGGAGATAGCGAAATTTTCATAATTACATTTGTTGTAGTTGCCAATCGGCTCTACAAAAAAGGTTATAACACAAATTTTGCTATCTCCCTTAGATTCCGAGATATTCATTGAAAACTGTTCAATAGTCAAAATTCACTTGTACCGTTTTACCACTTCGCTACTGAATTAAACATTACTTTAACACATCGTTGGTCGCCCAAAAGTTACGAACGCCATTGTTCCCGATTTCGGTGATTTCACGTGATTTCAGAGTGATTTTGGAGTGATTTCATGTCAGAGTGGCGCTGAGATTTCGAAAATGAGTAGCCCCTCGCATTATTCCCCTCCCAAAATGTCCTGGCACCCAAAAAAAGTGACTAACATTGTTTAACTTCCTTCAATTCTTTCCAGTTTTCAATGATCAAAAATTCATCAAAAAGTTGAGGCAGAGATGGGGTTTCTATGCGGCATGTGCCTTGCCATCCAAATAAACGCAATGCCCTTAGAAATCCCAAAAATGTCCAACGATCTTCAACAATAATTGCATAAACTCAAGAAACTCACGGCTTTCGCCTGTTTATCCATCAACCGCATCCTAGGGAGATCTATAAAGCTTCCACGCCGTGGAGTACTTGATCCCTCGATCACCTCATCCTGCAGCGCCCTGCGACGTTCGTTCTGACGCTCCAAAACTCGTCTCAACATTTCGGCACAATCGTTACAACTCAACATTAATCAATTACAAAATCGAATTCTCGCAACAGTTGTCTAATAAACTTGTTCTCCACTAATTATCAATTGATAAAAACTCGATGAATTAGCATGCTGGATTATACTTCAGCTCATCAATCAAATAATATTCTCCATGTTAAAAGGTAAAACCGTGTAAACGCTTGAGGAAACACGGCGATACTGAGGGCAGATTGGACAACTGGACGAGTAGAAGGCTCTGAACAAAACAAAAACTGTAAACATATCAATGGATAGGTAATATAAAGCTAGGTAAATATCTGAATATTAAATTTATTGAGGTTCGAAACCATCGAAAACAAATATTTGCTTTATCAGAAGTATTACAAAACTTTCTCATTCTACTTCTTATTCTTCTGATCATTGAATGAGGTCCAGGTAAAACGAATCCCGGAAAAAATGGACCATGGAAAAAATAGACCAAGGGAAAAAAATAAACCAAGGGAAATTTTTAAGTTGGGTGAGTTTTAGCACGTTTTGGGTGAGTGGGCTATTTTTTCTTGGTCCATTGTTTCCGCCTACCAGGTAAAACAGCTCGATGAATGCAACTCCTGGTCTCAATCATCTAATTATCTTAGTAATTATCAAATAATTGAAAATTCAAGAATAAGTTTATCAGAATTTTCGGGTTTTCTATTAATTTTCAGGGAATAATTAAACTAAATTTTGCAGTTCTCATGAATTTTTTCCCAAAATTCGGAATTTTCAATGACAAAATTCCTTGAAATTTCAGTAGAACTTGAACGTGATAGCAAATTCCGAAAAATGTACTGGAAATTTCAGCTGAAAATTTTCAACAATTTCATCTATATAGATGGAAATTGACGGTCAAAATTTATTCGGTCATTTCATGCTTATGGCCAATCGCCATTTTTTTCTCTGACCATATGGTCAGATTTTCGGCGTGGTAATTATCGATATGACAGTGGTCCTTGACGGTCATTTGACAGGTAATTTTTGTCACTCACATCTCTAGTGCTGAGAGATTCACTCAGTTCAGTTTCAAAACTCAGATGTTGCTTGCACTTTTTCCATGGTAATTAGACAATTCATCGTACTTGTGGTATAAGTAAAAAAATTTGTACGTTCGAGTTGAGTCCACTTTTATTAATCATTGAAATTGAGAGTATCTAATAATCATTCAGTTGTTGATGATTTTTGTTTTCAATTTGTCTTGTGTTTCAGTGTTACTCCCAAGAGGCCTCGTCGAATGGTTTCTCTCCACCTGGCTCTGCGTCCTTCTCGTTTTCCGTGACCGCACCCTTACCACGCTTCCGTCTTCGTTTGCCTGCACATCAAAATTGAAAACACTGGTTTATGCACTTATGTCATAACCCACGAAATTTATTAGTCGTGAATAGCTAGTTTTATGGGCCTCGGGTTTTTGTATCACGTGAGAATGTTAGAATAATGCGGCACGGGTTACTCAAGAAGAACTGTCAAATTTATTTAAGTTTACATGTGATGAAAAAAAGGAAGAAGAGAAAATAAAAATGCGAGTTTGCTTTCGTTTCGTGGTAATCGTTAATCGGCTACGTCGCTTTGTAAAACGAGAAAGGTCAGACTGAAAAGCTAATGTGACGATTTATTTTCGTCTAATTGCAAATATAAGAAATAAAGGTTTTAATTTCAATTCTTTTTTCTTGGATTATGGGACTTTCCACATTATTTCACTCGAAAAAATAGTCACATTTTTAGTTTCTTGTGGTATTTGACAAATCGCAGAGGGTCCCTAGACAAAAATTTCCGAATATTAAATTTTTTTTGTCACTCACTTCGTGAAGTCTCGTTTCACGCACGCTATGCCCGCTAAAAAGTCGATCACGAACGACGTAACAAAAAATATGCTTCATCACTGGGACGAAAAAAAAATTTCTGGCGAATATGCACGTAGGACTTGCCGTTGGCTCGTCATCGTGCAACCACATATTCACCAGAGAAATTTTCTTCGTCACAGTGACGAAATAGGTGGTTTTATTACACTGTGTGTAAAGCATCGTTTTACAGACACTTCGTGTCCGTCAAACGCCATTTACGGACTTTGCAAAGAAAATTTATGTTTGTCATTCGGCCGAAAACAACTTTTGTGACTCGTGTCATTGCATTTCTCGGCTTGGCCTAAGCTTGCAACCTTCACACGCATCAGTAAAGTATTTCTCGGCCTTGTGGCGAAAATAGCTATTTCGTCACAAGGCTAAAAAAAACTTTTCTGACGAGTGTAAGGATGGCAGACCGAAGCGAATCCGAGGAATAAAATCACACGAGTCAGAAAAGTTGTTTTCAGCCGAGTGACGAACTAGTATATTTCGATACAAGTGAGACGGAATATTCACGAGTGTGAAGTTGGCGATGCCGAGGGCTGCCAATCACACGAGCTGGAAATTCCTGTCTCACATGTATCGAACAATATTTTTTGACAGTGATGTTACGTTCAGCGAGTGGCCGAACTGCGCCTTTTTCGTTTACAATTAAACAAAAAGACTTTTCGTTTACTTTTTGCTCACTCGTAGACGAAAAAGCACTTTTCAGCACGAGGTGAACGTAGCAGCAGTGGCAAAAATAATTTTTCTTCAAAATGTCCGTAAACAGTGTTTCAATAGAATTCTGTTGGAATTCTATTGAAACTCTATAAAAAAAATAATATTCGTTTTTTGCATCGATTTCCATTAGGAATCATGCAACTTTGTCATTCGATTGTAAATACATATTTTTTACTGAAACAAGTTAAGAGATGATGATTCTTTCATCTAATTTATTCTGTCAGGATTTTCCTATAAGAATTGTCGGCCATGAATTTGCTGAATAAAAAAAAGGAGATTCATGCCCAGCAATTCCTACAAAAAACATTTCAAGAGAATAATTCATATAGAAAAATATTTGTCTTGTGATTATAGTCTCATTCGTTAACTTGACCGTTTCGGTGAAAACATAAATTTGATCCTGCAAATAGGCTTTTGCTGTTGGGTTCATATGAAAATAAAATCCCATGAAACAGAATAGAATTGACACAGATTTCTACTAAAAATTCAATATAACTTCATGAAAAGAGTGCCAAATTTTGTATTAATTTTTTTAAATATGTCGCTAACTGCCAGAGTTTCAATTCCGCTGAATTCCTCAGAATTGAAGGAAGCTGGCGAAATTTTCTTAATGTTTTGTCATTTTCTTAAGAAATTAATACATTGTCTCAGCTGTTTTGTATCTCACTCTACAAACAAAAAGTCAGAACACATAAATTCAGTCAACATCGAACATTATGAGATCCTCCTAAATTATACTAAATGATCAGCTCAAGAAATCGGTTGAGTGATTTTCGCCGTAAAAAATGTAAGAAAAATCCGAATCATAAAAAATTAAGAGAAAAAAAAGAGTCAATTTGTTTGTTGTGATTTGTTAAATTTTCAAGTTATTAATCTGCTGTCTATCACAGGCGTTTCTAATCACAGCAATTAATCGATGTCTCCCGTCGCCAATAACGGTGATTAAGACAGTTCGAAAGAGACTCTTAACAACTCATTGAACTCCGTCTCTATTTAAACTACAAAACGACACAGTAACACTGGATATAACAGGATAAACAACCGTCGCATTTCTCAATTAACCTTTCTCCTGCTCGCACTTAATTATTGTCTTATCTGTATCGTTTTTTTTGTATTCACGTTTCTTCGGGTCCCTACATATTCAGTGGGGCCATAAGTATCTTATCCAGCCTGGAGGTTTATAGAGAAGCAGTTGATTGTGAGCTTCCTGGAGATAAAGGCACAGAGGGGTGTTGAGGAGATTGTAAAAAAGAGAAAGGATGAAAACGAGGATTAAGAGCAGTTTGAAGAATCTCGGTGGGAGAGTCGTGTGGGCTGGGGATTTTTGGGGCTTCTGGAGCTTCCCGAAGTTACCTGATGTAAACTCCCAACCATCAGCGTCTGATCGGGGAGTGTCCTTTTTCACTGCAGAACTCCTAAAACAGAAATAATGGGAGGCAAATGATATTTGCATGTGATCAAGAGTTTTGCACGATTTGAATAAAATTTGTTGCATCATTAAAATGGAATGTAAACTGAAAATAGTTGAAATAATTTGCTTGATTCTCATATATATATTTTCTCTCTGTTCTCGCAGGAGGTCGAAGGTGCGCTCCGCGTGCCTGACAATTTGGTAGCTTTTATATGATTCATTACGTTATTATTTAAGTTGATTGGAATCAATTCGTGAAAATTGACAATCGCATACAATTCAATTTTCAGTAGATTGACAATTCAGAGAAGTTATTGCCTGAATTTTCATAATTTTCAAGGTTTTTCAGTGCCGTATGGACCTGAAAATCGAGAATTACTTAAATATCCAAAAAATTAACTGATTCGTCAATGAAGAATTTTCATGTAATTTTGTCGTTGTTGAAAATTTCAAGCATTTTCACATGAAATTCCATGCGTAATTTTCTAACAGTGTAATTACTGATAAAATTACAGATATTTTAACATCTAATAGAGTTAGGGGGAAATTTTAGAGAAAGTTTTTGCTATGGGATTTCCGCCTGCAAAAGAAATTTATGCCGCCTCCTCCTAGAATCACTCATCATCAAGACAATTCCGTAACCAACAGAATGAAAAAATACCTTATCACCGTTTAACACTTCCCTGCAGATTTAATTCGAAAATAACTTGCTCCCTTTGGGTCGGAAAGTTAAAATATTCTCTCGCATCCACTTCAGCGATTTCCATGTATCCACAATATTCCCGTAAATTATGAAACCTTCCAACGTTCAACAACCTCGTCCAACGACCCGTGGAACCATGTACTTTGAACGCATAATTCAAAAAGCAATTGATCAAAACGAAAAGCCGAACTCGATGGTGCGGAAATATCTGAGCGAAGCTACAACGTGAAGCAGTTACAACCAAAGTTGAAGCAAGCACGCCACAGCCATTTAAATAGAAAGAGGATTCAACCTACAAATTATCGTTTATGAATATTCACGAAGTTCACCACTGGTACTACTGATGTTTACCGATCGCTGAAAGATGATTCGCATGCACTCCACACGGCTACCGATTTACATGACAGTTTATGAGCGATCGTTACAAGAGGAATGGAGTTCCCGTATTTTTGCATCTCAATGTAAAATTTAAAAAATGAATGAGTAGATAACGTCAATGAAGTAATATGCAAACAATAATGGATGAAAATTAATTGACAATATAAATTTGAAGTCGGAGTAAATAATTTCCACCGCAATGAGGATGATCCATTGCTGCTTACACTGAGAGAAAAACAGCAGAGTTCTGAAACGAGTCATACTTGTGTCAAAAAATCGTTTGGTAAGAATTATCAAAAAAGGATTTTTTGGTGGCAAACATACGATGCGTGCGCCGAGATTGAAAATTCTTCTTGCAAAAGCAAATTTAGTTTAAAAAAAAAATGTATTCTCTGTGAAAGCAAGAAATGTAATTTCTAGCACTTCTGCTTCATTAGTTCTGCATATTAGTTGCTCCCATACGTATTTTGCTCCCGGCAAATGCTCGTTTTATGTGAAACAAGGGATAGTAGTTTGTAGTTTCGGCTATTCAACAATCACAGACACAAAAATTCTTACATGAAATGATAATAATCGTATGACAGCGATCTTGTAACTTAGGGACAACGTATTTCTTGATGAACTTCTATCTATAAAAGATAGTTTTATCCTGAAAATGCACCGTCGCAATTATTCATCTTTGAAAATTTACAATTCGAGCCAAACAATTATTTTTTTGTTAATTTTCAACTGACGAATTTGTTGGTCCAAAAAAACTTGTTTGAGTACTTGTTCGTTTTTCTCTCAGTGTGGGTCCACGTTTTTACATTTTCTTTTGAAAGGGTAAAATAACCCAACAATTTCATCACGATTATTTTGCAAATATCTGTTGAGGTAATATACTGTAACAAATTTGAGGGCTGAAATTTTTTATAGATAGCTCAAATTTTTATCAAACGAAGGTTTCACTGAGTTATGAGAATTAAGTTCCCGACCGTTATGATATAGATGCTCATCATAATTCTGGGTGATATTTCGGTTATTTGCAGGAATAAATAAGAGGAATGAGAAAAGAAAAAAAACTCCGCGATGTAGTTGAAAAGGCACAATGTTTCGAACGCACTGAGCGTTCCTCTTTAGGTGCTTTTTTGCGAGGAGACCGTGGTGAAATTTGAAAGTCTCTGGGTATTATACAGACGATTTTAAACGTTTATACTGTGTTATAGGTGAAAAAAAGTGGGAAAAAATGTGGGATATTGGGTAAGGATCGAAGAGTTTTGTAAGGTATAACACTCGGAATTATTATATATCGTATTAGAATTTATTCACAGCAAACGAAACTTTGGTTTACACCAGGAGAGCTGGAACGAGAGTGTGCTCCCGCGACAACGGTATTAATCCTCCGATCGAAGATGTCCGAATTATTACGAATTGTCGCAAGAGACGTAATAAGGTATTCGGCTGCTAAGGCGAGCTCGAATACAATAGATTGAAATAATGCGAAATAAATATAAGTAGCTTCGCTACAAAAAAATATGGCATGTATGTAAATAAATTTTTCTTCTTCTTACTTAATGATTCGGTAGAATAAAATCTTTTTTCCTTAAATGTAGATATGGTTGACCACTATCTATCGTCATTAATTAATTTTTTGAAAATCAGAATTCCCGGAATATCTTTGGATATCATGCTTCAAATTTTGGAGTCGCTTTATTCAATTTTGGGTGATCAACGAAATGAAGTAAATGAGAATAAGTGAATAAACCGTCAGACCTGATGTAAAGTTGATATCAAGAGAGTAACTGAAGTAAAGAAACTAAAATAAGTGGATGAAGGCCGTGAATATAAGCTCGAGCGAGAATGATTTATTTTTCCTTTGCTACACGTTTTTATTATTTTTCTCTTTTTATTCTTTTGAAGAAAGGAAATGCACCATGAACACCTTGAACGTTGAATTAGCGGGTTTTTCATGGTGAAGCAAATGAATAGTAGGTGGAAACGAGAGGATACCAGCGGGTTGCCAGGAGCCATAGCATCCTGCTTGCCAACATTAATTTCTCGTCACTCTTCTCTACCTTCATTGCATGTAAATCTGTCCACCAAGACTGGTGTACTTGGTTTCGTTCTTCAGTTTGGATGAGTTCTTGGGTTTATTTATACGGGAGGATGATTCGCGATTTTGCTTAAATTAATTGCGGAATATTCAAGAAATTATTCGTTCTTTGTTGCTATGGGGGAAATACAGTCAGATAGTGTATTTCAAGGTGAGTGCCATGGGGTTTTTCATTCGGCCTCTGAGCCGAAGACAAGGTTGATCCACATCCAGAAAATAGTAGGTTATGCACCAAGGCTTTACCATACAGTTATGATGAAAAATAGTTTTTTTATCGTTATTTTACATCGCTTCGACCCGGTTAGGCTATACTGCGATGATGATCAAGACTTTAATTGGTTAGATCGCACCTTCTACCCGGCCGGGATTTAAACTCGGAACCTTTCGCATGTGAGGCAAAGAACTTACCCACTGCTATGCGCCAAGCCACCGGGAACAAATGATAGAAAATAGTGTGTGCACCTAGGAAGGAGAAGGAAACAGCCGATGACCCATTCATTTGTGAAATCATTGTGTCCCTCAGGACTGAAATCGTATGAAATCAAGTGAAATCAGTGAAATCCTGGGATTTCATCAATTTCAGGAGATTTCTACTGAAATCACTTGCAATCTGTAAAATCTCATAAAATCATAAAATCGTAATACATAAAAGAGAACGAAACTTTTTCGACTTATTTGTGGGGTATTGTTCTACGTATGCCCATTTACGTGTATTATTTCTCACAAAAAAAAACGAATCGGTGAAAAAAATCATCTCTCATACGACGTTGGATGTTTTAACTGCGGTAGTAATGGATATTTAATCGAATGAATGAAAAATATATATATTTGATTCTCACGGCTTCACGTTGATGGTTTCATTCCTACATTTACCCCCCTTATAACTCTCATGCTTGAGCCTCCTTGCATTAACATGATGCATTTCTTTCCCTCCGGGTTCTATCAACATTCCCTTCTACTCCATTCTCCCCTCCGCCACGAAATAGGTCAAATCGAAAATTTGAAATCACTTGAGCTCGTCGGAAATCGCTAAATCACCAAAAATCCCAAGCAATTACATGAAATCAATGATTGTATGAAATCATGGAAATCTCCATGAAATCACGTAAAATCAGTAATCACTGTCATCAGATTTCCAAATGAATGGCCTAAGCCTATGAACTATTGGATTGAAGGTTGGAGTATACAGCTCTTATGAACGCAATGCGTTAAATTTCATCTTTCAAAAATCCTTTTCTCTAAAAAAAAAACAGAAAATAAGGTTGATATTGCGCCTAATAATACTCTTGGGCTGTTCTATAAACTCGGAAGAGGATTTCCCCCCGAAAAAATTTCCCGAACTACTTGGATATCCTTATATAGTACGAAATATAGTTTTTCGCCCCGGCGGGCGCAACGTACACATTTCCCTCCCGCTTCGTGAACCATTTCCTGACATTTAGACCAATTAGTCTGTCACATGCCAATGCTTGATTTTATTTTTCTCCAGCGACGCAAAGAACAATTACGGAGCTTGAGTGGGGGTTCTGCCACACCCGGCGTATTTCTCAGATATTGCGCCTTCTGATTATCATCCGGTCAGATGGGCTCGACATGCCCGTATTGATTTATTATTTTCGAAATATTGGAGACATCCGAAAATGTACACAGGGAAAAATCCGGTGTGGACTTCCTGGGACACCGATTGGTGTTGAATTACCCCCAGATTTATATACCATGTCCTATGGTGCGGTGCAATTTTAACACCGCAACTCCACACAAAAAACGATGTGAGCTCATTGGCACACCGGTTGGTGTCAATTTAACACCAATTTTTTTACAGTGTACTGAT